ACAAATTCCTCAATGATCCAACATTGCGGAAAGCCTTGAATTCAATATTGCAAAAGTATTCCTAGATTTTAAGTGAATTTAAGTGTTTTTCATTTATGTTAAAAAAGTTTCAGATATAAATGTTGTATGTACAATGTTGTAAAGTTTGAAGCAACATTTTTGAGTTTTATTACAATCTGTTTTATTGGAGCTGGATTTTGAAAGGATAGTTATAAGTTAAATGGATAAGTTTCTAATTAGTAATAAAATGCAAGTGCAATTCAGTCTCAGAACTAAAGAACATTACAAAACCTTTATGATTGTGAAAGTTTGATGAATTAAAGAAAAACTAAAAAATGAAAGATTCAAGATTTCAAAGCCCATTACTTTGTGTGTGTAAAGTGTTTCTTACTTTGAAATATTTCTATTGAAAATCGACAATACAAACATATTTATAAATAAAACAACAATTTGCAATGTAGAATGATTTTTATAAGTTCACATATAGTTGTGTCTAAACATGTCTCAGAGCTAGCAGTTCATTGGTGATTTAAACAGACGAGTGGTGCTTTAGTTAATTTGTTTGTACATTCAAAACGACACGAAAATAATTACATTTATATACTAAGTCTTACCTCATGCCATATCGCACACAATCAGTGCCGTTGGTAATTTTGCATATCTATATCTAACACATTTATTGAATAACTATATTGAGGAAAATATACGCCATATTGCAAAAATTCTATTATTAGTTCCTTCAATGGCTAACTTTAAGAAATCGATTAGATACATGATTGAAAGTCCCCAGTTAACACCGCCAGCGGCTAAACTACCGATGGAATTCACTTCCTTAATTTATTGTACATATTTTGTATATTGTTAAAAACGATCCAAGAACATAATATTTAGCATTATAAATTTTTTATGGCATAAAAAATTATTACATCAATGATTTAATATTAGGATAAATATCATTTACATATTAAATTCAAACTCCCCATTGAGATTGTTCTCGCGTTTTTGGGCATATCAATGGCTTCTAAGTTTCACATTCAATCGTTTCCCATTTTAATAGTTAGCTATACAAGATATATACTAGAACAACATAGGAATATCCACATCTTACGCTATATAAACAAATCCACATACATCCTTAGTACTACACTGACCCAACGCCAGTTTGCACCTATCAAAATCTATAATGTAACATTTGGAAGAGTTTGCTGTCAGTCAAGAATTCGATAGGTGAAAGAAATTATATACATCAGTCAAATTTGACTCCGTCGCCTTCCGCAAGCGAATTTTGAATGACCCAGACCCGCGATCGTCTACAACTTAGTTCGCTCTCTCCGGCGTGTCCTCCTGTTTGGACGGGTCGAAGCCTTCTTTGATATGGCCGCCCGTGCCTTTGGGGTCCAAATCTGTCGCCCAGCTGAAGTGCATCAAAGCCATATGGGGGTTCCCTATTTTACTGTAAGCTTTGCCGAGTAAATAATAAACTAACGACTCTCTCGGTGCAATGTTCTTCAGATGAGATAAATCCTCTATTGCATCGTCCGGCCTGCCCGCGCGTAGCAGCACGGACGCCCGATGGAACCGACACAGCGG